AAACTGCAAACCGACTCCAGGTGGCTCCCCCACCCCACCCCACCCCAAAAAGTGCACCCTACAAGCGCTGCCTCCCACCAGGTGACCCTACCCCTCTGAGTCCCTAAGCTCCTGGGGACACATGCAAGGAGGGGGTCCGCCCTGGAGAGGGGGTGGCACTCCAGCAGGCTCTGTCCACAGAAAAGTTCTCTCCATTCCAGCCTTTCTTTCAGGGGCTGCACTGCACACAGGCTCAGGGGAGGGAGCCGGGTTAATGACTTCACAACCCCTTTCCAGGCATTTCCTTCCCAGATTCTGAAAGTGGGGGCAGGGGGTGCTTTTCCTTCCCAAATTCTGAAAGTGGGGGCTGGGGGGGTACATCCTGGTACTTTGTGAGAGAAGTTTCCTCTTGGACCCTGGCCTGAGCTAAGACAAACAGCGTCCTAGGTTAACATCCTGTGCTGTAAATGGGGGCCCAGGGTCAGGACGCCCCTGGCTTAGAAGGGAGGAGGAGGAGGAAGAAACAGAGACTGTGGTTCCAAAAGGCATGTCCCCTTTGGTTGGGGACAGGGAACAGGGACAGGCAGAGCCCTGGGTGCAGCTGTTGGGGAGGGGAGACCCTGGAAGTTCCACTGGGGCCTGTGTGGGGTGCACTGGGACCCCACTGCCTACAACAGCAGCGTGGCCTGTGGGCTTGGGGGCTCAGAGAGCCAGGGTCACACCCCCTGGTTGGGCTGCCTTTCACCTCCCATGAGGACCCTGAGCTTTCAGAGGGCAGGAGCTCTGGGCTGGGGTGCTGAGCAGGGTAAGGTTGCCAGGTCCCACCCTGAGCCATCGCCCTTCCTGCTCTGGTGGGCAGTGTCCCTGCCTTGGGAGGGGAGGGGAGCCCCGCCCTGTTGGTCCTGGAGGCCAAGGGTTTCACACCTGCCCCTCCCAGGCTATTGGGAGCTCAGGCATGGAAATGGGAACTGTGAGTAATCAACTCGCCTGGATGACAGATTTAAAAACTAATCAAGCATTTCACACCCATTGGACTAAGAGAAAATTACAAAGTCTGATGCTACCAAGTGTGGCCAGGATGAGGGACAACGGGGACTTTCATCTGCTGCTGGTGGGAGTCGGGAAGGTCCAGGGTTAGCCTGAAGCTTATACAATTTGGGGACCTTCTTTATAAAAGAATAAAAAATGAGTCTGAATCTTGGAAGGGGCCTGAGCAAGTGCGGGTCCTGAGCTCAATTAAACTTCATAAGCTTCCCAGTGACTCCGCTACGCGGCTGTGTGAATTGGAATAACCCTTTTGGACAGCAGTGTGGTGACTCTGGGAAGATGAAGATGTGCGTTCCCTATGACCCAGCGAGTCCAATCCTCTGTGTGTCCCCCAAGAAATTCCCAACATGTAACCACAGAGGCCAATGCAAGAATGTTCTTTAGCAATGCCGTCTGCAACAGCAAAAAGCCACCACTGGAAATGGCCAAAATGTCCATCATCAGAAGAATGGACAAATAGCATCAATGTATATAAACCTCAACACCGTTGCATGGAAAGCTCGCTGCAGAAGGACATGACAGGACGACACTATTTCCATGAAGTGTGAAAACACAGCAAACAGCACCCATGGAGCTCATAGGCAGTCAGGGTGCAGGGAAGGGCTGACCCTGCCTGGGCGTCAGGACCACCACGTCCAGCCCTGGGCTCCTGAGGATGGAGGGAGGGGAGTAAGACAGCGGCACATCCAGGGCTTAGAAGCCTCCTGAAAAGCTTATTTCCTTCATACTGAAAGGAAATATGGCAAAATATTAAGATCTGACAAAGCTGAGTGATAATTACAAGGGTGTCTATTAAAGTATTATACATACTTTTTGGTAATATTTGAAATATTTCTTAATTTTTGTTTTCTTAAAAATTGAAGTGAAGTTCGTATAACATCAAACTAACCATTTTAAATTGCCCAATTGAATGGAATTTAATACATTCACGATGTTGTGCAATCACCACCTCTATCTAACCCCAAACATTTTCATCCCCCAAAAGGAAACCCCACACCCATTACGCAATTGCTCCCCATTCCCCTCCTCTCAGCCCCTGGCAAACCACCAGTTTGTGCTCTGTCTCTGTGGATTTGCCCATTCTGGGTATTTTACATGAACGCAATCATACAATATGTGACTTTTTGCATCTGTCTCCTTTTACTCAGCGTAGTGTTTCCAACTGTGTGGAATGTCTCAGTGCTTCCTCCCTTTTTATGGCTGAATAATATTCCACTGTGTGAATACGTCACAGTTTGTCCATTCATCCACTGATGGGACATTCTGACTGCTTCCATCTGCTGGTTCCTGTGAATAGAGCTGCTATGAACACACATATCCATCTACCTATTCAGGTCCCTGCTTCCAATTCTTCTGCTTATAAACCTAGGTGTGGAATTGCTGGGTCATAGTGTAATTTTTTTGAGAAACCACCAAACTGATTTCCACAGCGGATGAACCATTTCACATTCCCACCAGCAATGTGTGAGGGCTCCAATTGCTCCACATCCTGGCCCACACTTGCTATTCTCCAGTTTTTTTGATAATAGTCATCCTAATTTCATGTGAAATGGTACACCACTGTGGTTTTGATCTCATTTTCCTAATCACTAAAGATGTTGAGTATCTTTTCATGTGCTTATTGGCCATTCCTATATCTTCTTTGGAGAAATGTCTGTTCAAGTTCTTTGCCCATTTTCTAACTGGCTTCTTTATCTTTTTGTTGTTGTGTTGTAATGGTCCACACTTAAAAAAACTCTCCCAGGGCAGCCAGCACCTCCTTGGGCCCTTTCATTCTCTGCTCTTTCACACAGCAAAGCACATCCAGCTTCAAATGTACAAAGTGTGCAGAGGAAACTTAAAGGACTGGTGTCTGCTTTCTTCCTGTTCTCCCTGCTCCCTGGGAGCCACCCCCAATCTAGAGAGGAGGAAAGAGATTGGAGGTGATAGCTGAGGCATCCAGCATCTCTCGGGAAGTGGGGGTGGTGGTCGGCATCTGGGGAGCAGGGGCTGAGGTGGAGGAGAAAAAACAACTTGAGAGATGGCTGAGAGGGAAGTGGTCTGGGCAAGGGAGAATTATTTCTTCTAGAAGACCGTACTATTGCAGGTCACAAAACTGCCCCTGGAGGTGTAAGTTTCCACTAACCCAGGAAATTTCCTACCTCCCGGCTCTCTCCTTTCACTTAGTAGGGTGGGGGCGGGGGGGTTTCCTCCTCTCTATTCTCCCACAGACCACCCTGCCTGGCTAGGCTGTCCCTCCGCCAGGGGCACTCCTTCCTCTAGGCTGGGACACCAAGAGGAGGCAGTGGGCACTGGGAGGCCCTCCCTTCTGTGAAGCCAGGTCCCCCCCACCCGCCATCTCCTGCTGCCGCCTGAGCCAGCTCTTGTGAAGGCAAGAGAAGGAGGTGCCCCAGAGTCCTCTGCATGGAGCCCAGCTGACAGCCTCTCATGATTCTTGTCACAGTGCTCCCCAAACAGCTGCAAAAGCAGAGGAAGCCCCTCATTAGGGCAACAGAAGAGACACTAGGAGGACTCTTTGTTGCTTAAAAATCCCTCTGCCCATCACGCCTCACTGTCAGCCACCATCTCTTTGGTCATGAATCTGCTTTTGTAAACACAGTGGCCTCTGAAGGAACCACCACCACTCATCCCAGGTCCTGGGCACTGTGCGCTCATCTTCAGATGTCCAGCCTCGGGCAAGCACAGGCCAAGTGCTGAATAGACGCACCCAGAGGAGCCACTTGGGGAAAGGATGTGCCAGTGGTGCAAGCCCCTCCCCACTCTGGGTCTGGGTGTCCATATCTATAAATGGTGGGGCCGGGTGCAGTGTTGTCCAGGGTTTCTTCTAGATGTCACTTTCTTGACCCTGGCTGGCCCCAGGACTTGACGTCACTCTGGATACACACAGGTGTGAGCTCAACTCAACCCTCACAAATGCAGTGATACGGGGCCACCAGGAGACCTGAGTCCCCTTAGCCCTTTCTCCAAACCCTCCATGGATGACAGAACCTGCTCCCTGTGCTGGTCACACCCTCCTGACTCCAATCAGGCAAGAAGAAGCTGGGGTCCTGTTTTTAAACAGTTTTGAACATCCTCTTTTCTAACCAACTCTTCTCCTTCAGGGGTGCTGGGAATGGAGTCCCCATGGCTGCATCACTCAGCACCCACATAACACACACAGCAGCCCCTGGGCCCTGGGGAGTTTAGCCTGAGGGTAGTCTGAAGCCTAAGGACATAGTGAGCACTTTACCAGGAGCCTAGGCTAGGAAACGCTTTCCTACAGCCACCAGCGGAGCTGTGGGGCTCCAGCCCAAGGACAGACCAATGTCAGGAGGCCTTCAGACTGCTCAAGGTCAGCCGCTACATGGGACCAATTTTGCCAGCCCTCTCCCCTCCCCCGACTCCACACACAGGGCAGAATGACTGTGGCGGAGCAAACAGTGGCCTGTTTTATTATTTCCAGGTCAAAGTTGTCACGAATAAGTTCTCTCCCCAGAAACCTTCAAAGGCCAGAAGAGAATAACCCGGATTCCGCTCCTCCCTCACCAACCCAATCCCCACGCCTCGGTTGGTGATGCTCAGGCTTCTTTTGCTGATTTTTGTAAACGAAATCCTAACCCTGAACAAAGCTGGGCACCCCTACAAGGACGTCGCTCTCGCATAAGGGCTTCCTCTGCGCCCATGGGAAGCGGGTCAGAGCGCAGCTTTGGAACCAGCGCGCGATGGATGGACCCTAGCCGGCGCCCAACGTCTGACCCATTCGCGAATCTGGTTTTTCCACCTAAATTGTGGAGACTGTTTCTATCATTGTCCTTGGTCTGGGAGGGGCCAAACGACTGGAGTCGGGGAGATTTGCTTCACTCCGGCCCGGCTATCCCGATGCTCCCAGGACCCACGCAACCTGTGAATCTGGTCCGGAACCCTGCGCAGAGACCCGCGATAGTGCACGGCTCAGCCCATCCCACGCCCTCCCAGGCTCCGGCCCAGCCACTCACAAACTCCAAAATAAAGAGCAAGTCGGGGAAGGTGGTGAAAACCGCGAAGCCGCTGGGCAGGGTGCTGCCGCCCGATGACGCTGTAGGGGCCATGCCGGCGTGCTGGTGTCGGCTTGTGGACAGGACGCGCGGCTCTGGCTCTGGCTCCGCGCTGACCGCTCTCTTGCTCTCGGAGCCCAGCAACCCAGTACCCCGCGCCCAGCTTAAGTGCAGAAGCGCCCGGAACCCAGGAGGGAGGAGCCCGGGCCGCCGCCTGCCCCGCCCCGTCCCTCCCCGTCCCGTCCCGTCCGAGCCAGCCCTGCGCGCCCCGAGGGACCCGCCAGACTGCCTCGGGCGCCACCCTGAACCACCCGAGGGCGCACAACCGGATCGCCGAGCTGGGGCGGGGGCCTGACTCGCTCGCCCCACATCCAGGTGCCATCTCGCGTGGGGAACAGGAAAAGTCCCTTTGACGGAGCGCTTCGCACGTTTTGCCCTCGTGGCAGAGGATCTCCATCCCTTAAGAATAAGAACCGTCACTAACTAGGCTCCAAACTCCCCACAGCGACACCCCTCAGGTCCCCATTGCTCTAACTGTTCTTAAGATGGATCTCCACTTTTCCACTGGGTGCGTTAATGTGAGCGACCTCCGCGTCCGGGCTCGCGGTGGGACGAGATCCTAGTCCTGCCCGCAGCTGCAGGCTGGGGGTCTGCAGGGGCGTCGTGGGGACCAGCTCTGGTCACCAACCTTTCTCCCTGCGCCTTCGCAGCGCCAGGAACCCTGCACCCACAGTCCGCTCCTCTCAGTGCTGGAGCTTTGTGTCTCTTTGAGGGGAGGAGGCTGCTCTTAGCCCTGCCAGCCCCGGAGGAGGGTGGTGGAGAAGGTGCTGGGGTCCATCTGCATTGAATCCAAGGGACAGGAAGGACCTTCTAGAGCAGATCCGTGCCCTTCTCTCAGGGAGGGGGGCCTGCACCGCTGGGGTGGGAGTACTCCTCCCCATGTGTTTTGACTCCCTGTTGCCACTGGTTTTTTGTTTTCCTTTATTTTCTGGACCACACTTTATTTTTTTTCTTTAATTATTTTATTGAGGTCACCTTAGTTTATAACATTGTGTAAATTTGAGGTGTACCTTATTATCTATCAGGTTCTGTATAGACTGCAATGTGCTCATCATCAGTAGTCTAATTTTGATGTCACCATACATATGTACCCTTTCACCCCATTTGCCCTTCCTTCACCTCCTTCCCCTCTGGTAGCCACTAATCTGTTCTCCTTATCTGTGTGTTTGTTTGTTTATCTGCACATATGGGTGTAGTCATACGTATTTGTCTTTCTCTCTCTGACTTATTTCACTTGGCATTATACACTTAGGATCCATCCATGTTGTCGAAAATGGCACTATTTTTTCTTTTTTTATGGCTGAGTAGTATTCCATTGCATGTGTATGTATATATATGTGTGTGTATACACCACATCTTTATCTATTCATCCATTGACAAGCACTTGGGTTGCTTCCACAAGTTGGCTATTGTGAATAATGCTGTGATGAACACAAGGGTGCATATATCTTTCTGAATTTGCATTTTCATGTTTTTTGGATAAATACTGACATCACATGGTATTTCTATTTTTAATTTTTTGAGGAATCTCCATACAGTTTTCCTAATGGCTGTACCAATTTGCACTCCTGCCAGCAGTATATGAGGGTTCCCTTTTCTCCACATCCTCTGCAACACTTATTTCTTGTCTTCTTAATCTGATGGGTGTGAGGTGATATCTCATTGTAGTTTTGATTTGCATTTCCCTAGTGACTAGCCATATTGAACATCTTTTCCTGTGCCTGTTGGCCATCTGTATATTTTCTTTGGAAAAATGACTGTTCATATCCTCTGCCTCTTTTTTGATTGGGTTCATTTTTTGTTAAGTTGTATGCATTCTTTATGTATTTTGGAAATTAACTACTCGTCAGATACATAATTTGCAAATATTTCTTCCCCTTTGGTGGGTTGTCTTTTCGTTTTGTGGATAGTTTCCTTTGCTGTGCAGGAGCTTTTTAGTCTGATGTGGTCCTGGTCCCATTTGTTTATTTTTCTTTTGTTTTCCTTGCCTGAGTAGACAAGGTATTCAAAAAGATAGTGCTAAGACTGAAGTAAAAGAGTGTACTGCCTATATTTTCTTCGGGGAATTTTAGGTTCATGTCTTACATTCAAGTCTTTAATGCATTTTGAGGTACTTTTTGTGCCTGGTGTAAGATAATAGTGTATTTTCGTTCTTTCACAGGTGGCTGTCCAGTTTTCCCAGCAGCATTTATTGAAGAGACTTTCCTTTCTCCAGTGCATCTTTTCTGTCGAAGATGAGCTATCCATAGATTTGTGGTATTACACTCCCTGGATTCAAACACACTACAATGCTGTAGTAATTAAAACAGCATAGTACGAGCACAGAAACAGACACGCAGATCAATGGAACAGAACCGAGAGCTCTTTATTCTTTTTTGACTGTATTTTTAACAAGTGTCGCACTCCAGTAGTTTTCCTCTTTATTTTAATGTAGACAGTAGCACTGAGTTTTCTCCTACAGTCCCAGAGCCGAAAATATTTCTGCCATCCAGGGCAGCCCCAGCTCAGACTCCCCAGCACTTCTGTGGCTGCACCCACAGCCCCAGCAGGCACCGCCCCCTCTCCCCAGTGGGACCCTCACCCTTTCCCTCTACACAGCTCTGTTTCTTTCCCCGTTTCTGTGGAGAGAAGTCAGTTCCTGGACACATTTTCAGAAAAACAAAAACACCCATGACCATGAGCTGTCCTTTCTGACACTCACAGAGAGGGACCAGGCACCTGAAGTGAGAACATCCCACTGCGCCTCTGTGAGCCTCCTCGGGGCTGCTGGCCTTGGTGGCCTGAGACCCAAGGTGTCCATCTGCTTCGTCTTAAGGAGACTCTGGTGGGGACAACCACAACTGGCGGGAGGTGAGATAACACTCAAGCAAATCCATCCAAAGCTGTTTGGCAATTTCTCTGTCAGTATTCACCAATTAAACACACAAAGGTCTTCTCAATTCTTAATAACATCTTCACCTGGCCTTGAAGTTTTTGTTTGTTTGTTTTTCGGTTGGGTTTTCTGCTGGCTGTTTCAAACCTTTGCTGCTAAATTCCTCAGTCTTGGGCTCGTGACTCTGGGGAGAAGGTGCAGCTCCCTAGTGCAGCCCAGTGAGGCTGATGGGCTCCAGCCTCCTTTGCTGAGGCCCAAGAGCCACAAAGGATCTAGGAAGGGCCCTTTCTCTGTGACCCTCATCTCACCTGCCGTCTTTGCTTGATGGTCCTCTTCCTGACCACACTCTACCCTCTGCAGGGCAGCCCCCACCCCGTCCCCATCCGCCTGTCTCCTTCCTGCCATATCATGTCCTCAGTGCCCAACCAAGACCCCAGCCCATGCACAGTGCTCAGTAGGTACCCATCCTCTGCCGGGATGGACCCGGCCTTGTTGGTGCTTGACCGCCCGAGGAGGAAGCACAATGACACTGTTTGAACGTAGAGTGTGGTCAATAGAGACAGTCTGTCTGCATGTCACAGAGCTGCCCCAGGGTGCTCTGGGCCACGAGCCGATGATGTAGGGGGTTCATGTCCATAAGACAGGACCACACTTTGGTCTCCAGCAGGACATGAGAAAACACCCTCAGCCCATAATGACTCACTTCAGAGTCCTTGGTCCTCCTAGGAGCATAGTGGGTGTGAATGTGGGGTCAGTCTGGGAGGATCTGGGGCTTCTGTCAAAATAAGAATATGGCCTACTGTGGGTTTCTACAAAGCAGAAACATGAAAGTGACGATTGCTGTGCCAGCCCGAGGGTGGAAGAGGTCACCTCCAGCTGGTGTGTGTCGGGGGAGGGAATTGGGAGTGGGAGAAGGGACTGGGGGACAGGGGCATGTTCAAAGAAAGATTCATGGGGCAGGACTTGCCAGGAAATCATAGCAGGTGGGATTTACTTTTTGGGTCTGTAGAATGACCCCCATTTTACTGATGAGGTGATGGAGGCTCAGAAAGGTTAAGTAGCTGCCCAAGGCCACACAGCAGGTGAGTGGTGGAGCTCAGCCTTGAACCTGAGTGACGCTGTGCCTCCAAAGCTGCAAGCCCTTGATCAAGACTGTACTTAATGGATGGATGGATGGAGGAGGAAGTCGTGGTGTATACAGACAATGGAATATTATTCAGCCATAAAAAATGAGGAAATCCTACCATTTGTGACAACACGGATGGACCTTGAAGGTATTATGCTGAGTGAAATCAGCCAGACAGAGAAAGACAAATGGTGTATGACCTCACTTATATGTGAAACCTAAAAAAAAAAAACACATATCCCACCAAACTCATAGAAAAAGAGGTCAGACAGAGATGGGGTCTGGGGGGTGGGGGGATTGGAGGAAGGTGCTCAAAAGGTACAAACTTCCAGTTCTAAGATGAATAAGTACCAGGGACGTAATGTCCAGCACGGTGACTACAGTGAACACAGCTGTGTGAGATGCAGGAAAGTTGTTAAGAGAGTAGAGCCTAAGAGTTCTCATCACAAGGAGAACTTTCTTTTTCTTTTCTTTTTATTGTATCTGTATGAGATGATGGATGTTAAGTAACCTATTGTGGTAATCACTTCACATTTATATGTAAATCAAACCATCATGCTGTACACCTGAGACTTATACAGCGATGTCAATTATTTCTCAGTAAAACTGGAAAAAATTCACACAGTACAGAAATTTTTAAGAACATACTTAAGGTGGACAACTGCCAATCAAATGCCACATTCCATACAGACCATCGACAGCCACCCAAATCCAGGCTTCGTGGTCATCTCAAACATGGCACTGGGCACTGGCTCCCTGAGGCATCTCTGCCCGGATCACAGGGCTCTGGACCTTTAACCCCTGAACTGGGAACACAAGATTGGAGGCCGTCATCCCCGTTTTTTGATTCCCACTCCTGGCAGAAGCAACAAGGGCACCTGCTGGGCCGATGGACTAATGGAATCCCAGAAGCCTTGACCCCAGGAGGGCGGAGGGGAAACAGCACTGCTGAGGACCTACGAAGTGCCCAGCCCCACCATAGGCACTTTGCCCACATGACCTCATTAATCCCATGGAGCCTTTCTGACAGCTGTCACCCCACCCTGCAGGCTCAGATGGGGAGGGAATGTGCCCAGGCCACAGGGAGGACACCCAGATGTCTTGACTCCAGAAAGTGGACTGTTCCCAC